TACACCCATCAGAATGGCTAAGATGAATAACTCAAGAGACAGCATATGCTGGAGGTTGTGGAGAAAGGGGAACTCTTCTCCACTGCTGGTGGGAATGTAAACTTGTACAACCACTCTGGAAATCAATCTGGCGCTTTCTCAGACAACTAGGAATAGCACTTTCTCAAGATCCAGCCATACCACTCCTAGGCATATATCCAAAAGAGTCTCAAGTACACAATAAGGACATTTGCTCAACCATGTTTGTAGCAGCCTTATTTGTAATAGCCAGAAGCTGGAAACAGCCCAGATGCCCCTCAGTGGAGGAATGGATGCACAAATTGTGGTATATCTACACAATGGAATATTACTAATAATAAAAAACAAGGAAATCATGAAATTTGCAGGCAAATGGTGGGATCTGGAAAGATCATCCTGAGTGAGCTGTTCCAGGAGGAAAAAGATGCACATGGTATATACTCACTCATATAGACACATAATATAGGAAAAACCTGCTAAAATCTGTACACCTAAAAAACTAATCAAGAGGGAGGACTCTTGCTAAAATGCTCAATTCCTATCCAGAAAGGCAAAGAGGATAGACATGAGAAGAAGGAGAAAAGAGGGAACAAGTCAGGAGCCTGACATAGAGGACCTCTGAAAGGCTCTGCCCTGCAGACTATCAGTGCAGATGCTGAGACTTATGGGCAACCTTTGGGCAGAGTGCAGGGAATATTAGGAAAGAAGTGGGAAACAGTAAGATCTGGAGAGGATAGGAACTCCACAAGGAGAGCAATAGAACCAAAAAATCTGCTCACAGGGGTCTTTCCCGAGACTGATACTCCAACCAAGGACTATGCATGGAGATAATCTAAGACCCCTACACAGATGTAGCCCATGGAAATTCAGTATCCAAGTGGGTTCCATTGTAATAGGAACAGGGACTGTCTCTGACATGAACTGATTAGCCTGCTCTTTAATTACCTCCCTTTGAGGGGGAAGCAACATTACCAGGCCACAGAAGAAGACAATGCAGCCACTCCTGATGAGACCTAATTGACTAGTATCAGAAGGAAGGAAAAGAAGACCTCCCCTATCAGTGGACTTGGGGAGGAGCATGCATGCAGAGTGTGGAGGAAGGGAGGGATTGGGACAAGAGGAGGGAGGGAACCCCAGGGGGATACAAAGTGAATAAAGTATAATTAATAAAGAATTTTAAAAATCCAAAATAAATAAATGAATGAATAAATGAATAAATAAATAAATAAATAAATAAATAAATAATTAAATAAATAGGACCTCATGAAACTGAAAAGCTTCTGTAAAGCAAAAGACACTGTCATCAAAACAAAACGAATGCCTACAGATTGGGAAAGAATCTTCACCAACCCTTCATATGACAGAAGGCTAATATCCTGTATATATAAAGACCTAAAGAAGCTGAAAAGCAACAAACCAAGTAATCCAATTAAAAAAATGGAGTACAGAGCTAAACAGAATTATCACTAGAGGAATATCGAATGGCAGAAGAAACACTTGAAGAAATGCTCAACAGCATTAGCCATCAGGGAAATGCAAATCAAAACGACCCTGAGATTTCACCTTACACCCATCAGAATGGCCAAGATCAAAAACTCAAGTGACAACACATGCTGGAGAGGTTATGGAGAAAGGGGAACCCTCCTCCACTGCTGGTAGGAATGTAAACTTGTACAACCACTCTGGAAAGCAATCTGGCGCTTTCTCAGACAATTAGGAATAGTGCTTCCTCAAGATTCAGCCATACCACTACTAGGCATATACCCAAAAGAGGCTCAAATACACAATAAGGACATTTGCTCAACCATGTTTGTAGCAGCTTTATTTGTAATAGTCAGAAGCTGGAAACAGTCCAGATGCCCTCAACTGAATATTGGATGCAGAAATTGTGGTACATCTACACAATGGAATACTACTCAGCAATGAAAAATAAAGAAATCATGAAATTTGCAGGTAAATGGTTGGACCTGGAAAGGATCATCCTGAGTGAGCTGTCCCTGAAGGAGAAAGACACACACAGTGTATACTCACTCATATAGACATACAATATAGGATAAACCTGCTAAAATCTGTATATCTAAAGAAACTAATCAAGAGAGAGGACCCTGACTAAAATGCTCAATCCCCATCTCGAAAGGCAAAGAGGATGGACATCAGAAGAAGAAGAAAACAGGAAACAAGTTAGGAACCTGCCACAGAGAACCTCTGAAAGGCTCTGCCCTGCAGACTATCAAAGCAGACGCTGAGACTTATGGCCAACTACTAGGCAGAGTGCATGGAATCTTATGTAACAAGTGGGAAATAGTAAGATCTGGAGAGGACAGGAACTCCACAAGGAGAGCAACAGAACCAGAAAATTTGGACACAGGGGTCTTCCCAGAGACTCATACTCCAACCAAGTACCAGGCATGGAGATAACCTAAGACCCCTGCACAGATGTAGCCCATGGCAGTTTAGTGTCCAAGTGGGTTACATAGTAATGGGAAGAGGGACTGTCTCTGACATAATCTGATTGGCCTGCTCTTTGATCACCTCCCCCTGAGGGGGGAGCAGCATTACTAGGCCACAGAAGATGACAATGCAGCCACTCCTGATGAGATCTGATAGACTAGGATCAGAAGGAAGGAGAGGAGGACCTCCACTATCAGTGGACTTGGGGAGGGGCATGGGTGAAGAAGGGGGAGAGAAAGTGGGATTAGGAGGGGAGGAGGGAGGGGTTTATGGGAGAATACAAGGTGAATAAAGTGTAATTAAGAAAAGTTTAAAAAGAAAAAAATTTAAAAAAGAAAGATCTATTCAGTGTAACAATGAAATAAAAATATAAGAAAAGCTGTAAAAAGGAGAAAGTTTACTGTAAACTGTATTCCCCGGTATTTCATAAAGAAGACACATTGTGAAACTAGTTATGTGGATAATTCGGTGAACAGCTCACAATACCCAGAACAACATCAACGTCACCCTCCTGGGGATCTCTGGTAAGCATTAAGGGAATTTTGAAATGTTTTAAAGAATCATTTTGAAATAAAAACAAGAACTGTTGTCTCCTTCTAGTCTGGAGTTCCCACACAAATAATATTGTGTTTTCTCATACTTTTTGTGTTTCTTCCTGAAAATTAGCAGTGTTCCAGTATTATACTTTTTTAAAGGATTTAGATAAGGTAAAAAATGTTTACATGATTATGTTATAGTTTTGAAATGTGTTTAAGATAATAAAGCATTTAAAGAAGGGGTTACAATACTAAGTAATCTTAGAGAAAATCATCACCCCAAATATTTATTAACACCAGTAGTTACCCACATGATGACAGACACTTCATTGTTTATCAAGGTAACAAAATTGTCAGAAAGTTTGAATGTAAATTTCCAGTAATAGAAAATAAATGAATGATTATAACACTTGAATATATTCAATTTTTGTGCAAGTTTTTCTGACTGAAGTAAAATATGATACTCAAATATTACTTATTTTTTTAGAATGAGAAAATCTAACTTGTGTGAGTGCAATAAAACTTCTTTAATTTCATAAATAATGGTACGATGGGTGGTTAATGAATGTAATGACAATAGGATCCTTATGCCTCTTGATTATCACAGACTTAAATTTATGAAGAGAAAACTTTACAAAACAGTATTTTTTGTCGGATTCATAACCTGCTAGTAGGGAAATTCTTACTTGAAAGTTGGAGTTCATAAAGAAAAATAGATTAGTTAATTAAGGACAAAAATCCGTTATAATCATCACCTTAGAACCTTAATTTAAAAAACGGGCTATAAATTTTAAAGAGAGCAAGCAGAAATATATGGGAGAATTTAGAGAGAGAGAAAATTGTTCTGATTATAATATGAAAAGATAAAAGAAGTAAGAAAAACATTATTGGGTTTGTTTATATAATGGTATATTTTAGTATGATTCATAGGTAAGAATTTTGAAGCTCATTCATTCTTAGTGGATTTTTAGTGAAAACAAACTGACATCTCACAATTGGTTACTTATGGTAATTTTTAACTTTTAGAAAAGTAACATGTAGTTATATTTTAAAATTGTATAGACTCTATACTATTTTCTCATGGTAAAATATTTTAATTTTTTGTAAGCATTAGGACTATGATTCTATAAATAAGGAAGTTAGCACATGTGGAAATAACATAGCAACGTACATACATACCTTCAACGATATGCTTTTCATTTTCAAAAATATTAAGCAGAACATAGTAGCACACTGAAAACCCAGCCACCAGGTAGCAGAGGCAGGAGGATCACTGTGTGTTCAAGGACAATTTAGTCAACAAAGCAAGTTTAAATCACCAAAGACTTCATAGTAAGACCTTATGCCAAGAAGGGAAAAAATTTAAGAAAATATTGAATTTCTTCAGATACTCTTATTCACAAATAAACTCTTATTTCACTTAAATAGCAAATTTTACATTCATGAGAGTGACAAAACATACAGGTATAAATGGAATGTTACTTTATTGAAATTACAGAAAATTTTCTTAAAATCTTTTACTACAATTGAGTTCTAAACATATACTATAACAGAGTCTTGTAACCTTGTCATACTGAAAATAACGTGCATTAAATTATTCATATTGAATGAGTTATTGTGTATATAAAAGTAGCCACTATGTGGAATGAACAGAGTGTGTTTACATATGTAGAGAATTACATATAGTACATAAAAACAAACAAAGAAAAAGAGGCCCTGGATCTGGGAGAGAGTGGTTGAAGGGAGGGAAGAAGTTCTGTAACTATATTTTAATTAAAAATAAATTATGAGACACTCCATGACTTCATGATATGCACTAAAAAATAAATTTTGAGTGTTACAAAGCAGACAAATACGGATAAAGGTTCACAAACAGTGATGAAATGAAAAGCTCCCTTTAGAAATACATCCACAGAATAAGTCATGACAGCTGTATCATTTCTTTGTGACTGTTCCTTACTTGTTATTTCATTCTAGTGATTGCTCAGGGCAGAGATGATAACGGAAAACCAGACTCTGCTGACTGAGGTTGTCCTCACAGGACTCACAGATCAACCCTGGCTACAGGTGCCACTCTTCCTGGTTTTCCTCATCGTCTACCTCATCACCATGGTGGGCAACCTTGGACTGATCGCTCTCATCTGGAAGGACCCGCACCTTCATACTCCCATGTACTTCTTCCTGGGAAGCTTAGCCTTCGCTGATGCGTGCACTTCGTCCTCTGTGACCCCCAAGATGCTTGTCAATTTTTTAGCTACGGATCACAAAACACTCTTGTTTGAGTGCTTCACCCAGTTTTATTTCTTTGGTTCAAGTGCAACGACAGAGTGTTTCCTCCTATCAGGGATGGCCTATGACCGCTATGTGGCCATATGCAACCCTTTGCTTTATCCAGTGGCGATGTCTAATAGCCTCTGTTTGCAATTTATACATGTTTCGTATATTGTTGGTTTTCTACATTCAGCAATTCATGTGGGCTTGTTGGTGAGATTAAAATTTTGCAAATCCAACATCATACATTATTTCTACTGTGAAATTTTGCAGTTATTCAAAATTTCCTGCACTGATCCTACAGTTAATGTCCTCCTGGTTTTAATATTTTCAGCTTTCATACAAGGATTTACTTTTATGACTATTATCATCTCATACCTGTATGTTCTTTTTGCCATCCTGAAAACGAAGTCTGAGAAGGGCAGACACAAAGCGTTCTCCACCTGCAGTGCCCACCTGCTCTCTGTGTCTTTGTTCTATGGCACTCTCTTCCTCATGTATGTGCGCCCTGGGTCTGGGTCTGGGTCAGGTGAAAATAGGGATAAAATGTATTCTTTATTTTACACAATAATAATTCCTTTTCTAAATCCTTTTATATACAGTCTGAGGAACAAAGAGGTAATAGCTGCCTTGAGAAGAAAAATGAAATAAGTAGTTGCCACATATGAAATGGTTCAGACCATTTCTTCCTTCTGAAGCACATGGGGAGGGAGCAATCTCTAGAAATATGGGTTAGACTCTGTTCTGCCATGTCACCAGATGCCCTGTGAAAGCAGTGAGCTTCTCATTACACTTCCCAGTGGAGTTTGGCAATGCAAACCACAATGTGTTGAGAAACACCATGCACCTTTGCTTATGAGCATTTGGCTTCTGCAGACTAAGTATCTCCTCAGATCTTCCAAATCTATGAGGAATCTATTGGAAATACTACTTAGAAATAGAGAGCTTATGAATGTACCTAAGAGTATCTGATGACTCATAGAGTCCCGCATGTTTTCCTGTTGCTATTTGACATGTGGATGTATTTTCACTGAATTTCCTCTTCAAGTCTAAGTGCATTTTTTGGCTATAAAGTTTCTTCTTAAACACTGTGCACTTACCAGGCCTGGCCCAGACTACTTTTCATATATATAAATATATATATATATATATATATATATATATATATATATATATATATATTACATATTTCTTTGTCACTTTCAAAACTGTAAAACTCACATAATTGATTAATCTGTATACTAGAAAAGCATATACCTTTGCTTTTCTCCTTTTGGGTCTATGAAAGTAGGAAACAAACAAACTGGATTTTACTGTGTTGTTAGTTGCATTCTATTATTTGGGCATCGCATCTAGAAGACATAAATAAGTAAATCAAGCAGTTTTCCTGAATGCATGTTTGTTCTAGCATTAATCCAAGCTCTGGAGCTGTCAAACCTCCTTCAGAGCATTTTTCCAGTTGGGATTTCATAGTCTCTTATCTCTCCTTCAAGTTCTGTGTAAACTCTCATCTCCCACTCCTTGGCCACCCAGTTTCTCCCCCACTCCCCATGCTTCTTTGTAGGTAATCCCTGCTTACAATTTTGGTTGTCTTGGGCCTTCACTGAAGAGGGGTCTGAGGATGGTGATGTCCATAGATATTCCCTTGCTATAAAGGAGAGTTCTGAGCCAGACCAGCAACTACTAAAGCAGACTGCATTTTTTTTGTTTTACTTTTTAAATTTATTTTTATTAATTACAGTTTATTCACTTTGTATCCTAGCTGTAGCTCCTTCCCTCTTCCCCTTCCAATCCCTCCCTCCCTCCTTTTTCTCCACCGATGCCCCTCCCTCAGTCCACTGATAGTGGAGGTCCTCCTCCCTTCCCTCTGATCCTACTCTATCAGGTCTCATCAGGAGTGGCTGCTTTGTCTTCCTATGTGGCCTGGTAACGCTGCACACACACCCCGAGGGGGAGGTAATCAAAGAGCAGGCCAATCATTGTATGTCAGAGACAGTCACTGTTCCCATTACTAGGGTACCCACTTGGACACTGAGTTGCCATGGGCTACATCTGTGCACGGGTTCTAGGTTATCTGTATGAATGGTCCTTGGTTGAAGTATCAGTCTCCAAAAACACCCCTGTGTCCAGGTTTTTTGGTTCTGTTGCTCTCCTTGTTGAGCTCCTGTCTTCTCCAGGCATTTCTATCTTTCTCTTCTTTCGCAAGATTCCCTACATTCTGCCCAAAGTTTGGCTATGAGTCTCAGCATCTGCTTTGATACCCTGCTGGGCAAAGTCTTTCAGAGGCCTTCTGTGGTAAGCTCCTGTCCTGTTCCCTGTTTTCTCCCTCTTCTGATGTCCATCTTCTTTGCCTTACTGAATGAGGATTGAGCATTTTACCCAAAGTCCTCCTTGATTGGCTTCTCTAGGTGTATAAGTTTTAGTATGTTTATCCTATATTATATGTCTAATATCCACTTATGAGTGAGTAAATACCCTGTGTGTCTTTCTGTTTCTGGGATACCTCACTCAGGAAGATCGCTTCTATTTCCCACCATTTGCATGCAAATTTCATGATTTCCTTGTTTTTAATTGCTAAGTAGTATTCCATTGTGTAAATATACCACAATTTCTGTATCCATTCCTCAATTGAGGGGCATCTAGGTTGTTTCCAGATTCTAGCTATTACAAATAAAACTGCTACAAACATGGTTGAGCAAATGTCCTTATTGAATGGTGGGACATCTTTTGGGTATATGCCTACGAGTGGTATAACTGGATCTTGAGGTAGCACTATTTCTAATTTTCTGAGAAAGCACCAGGTTGATTTCCAAAGTGGTTGTACAAGGTTACATTTCCATCGGCAATGGAGGAGGGTTCCCTTTTTTCCACATCCTTAATTTTTTTCTATTTCGGACATTTATGTGAGGAAGAATGTTGGTAGAAAAAAGGAAAAGCCTTTCATTTTTATAATCAAGCCACTATGTTTCTGTAAGAGAGGAAAAGTTTGCATGCACTATAACAACAACACAGTTCGCAACATGCAATAGTCTGGAATCTGAAGCTGTTTTCACAATGAGTTTATTGGTTCTGCTTGCCATGGTGACTGTGAACTTTGAAAAACAATTATTTCTTTTACATTTTTACATTATAATTACATCATTTCTCCCTCCATATTCCTCTCATGTACCCAACCTGTTCTCTTTCAAATTCATTGCCTCTTTTTTTTTTAATTAATTGTTGGTGTATATACAGTCCTAAATACGTAAGTGCAGTCTTCTCTGTCTGCATAACATTGCTTGTACCTATGCTTTTAGGAATGACATTTGGTGTTGGGTAACCAGAAGGTGTATGCTCCCCTGGCAAAAGCTATTTTTCCCATGCTCCACATTCCTTAGTTGTCTATAGTTCTACTTTTGAGTTTAGTTCAAGACTTAAATGAAGTCCCACTGCAACTTAGCAAACATTGCCAGAAATATTTCAGGTTTGCAAATTGTTTGAATTGGAAAGGGGGGTTGTTATGAATCCAAAAACCTTTTTCAGTTGCCAGCTTTGCCATGATCCCATAGGGGGTTCAAACCCCATAGTTTAAACAGTTGAGATTTAGATCTCTAACCGTAAGTCATTTTTTAATTAACTCAGACAAAACTGTCCTAGTTGAAGGCTTCAGAGTGTGAAATTTCATATGTCCAGTTTGTTTAAACTTGCCAAAATTGCTATCTTTGAGGGGAAATAACAATATCAAGTAGAATTTTTGGTTATTAAAAATACAATATCTTACTGACTTGGATACTTATTAGTGCAAAGTGTGTGATACCCTAAGGGGCCAATTTGGACTTCTCACTGGCATCCAAACCCACAGTGCCCAGTAGAAGACCTTCTCAGGGTCCTCCAGAGAATGCTGGGCTGTTGGGAATTTCAGTTCCCTAGCCCACCTTCTTCTGGAAAAATCATGCCGGGATGGAATTGGTGGGGTTTTGTTGTTGTTGTTGTTGTTGTTGAGGGAAAGTGCATATAAACAACATTTCCTGTACTTGGGAAACGAAGCTTCTAAATGTTTCTGTCTATGTTGCTGCCTTCTTGTTCTACCGTGTTTCGCTCTGCTTGAGAAAACCCCGTCCTTCTGAAGATCATAGCAATCTTTTTTGAGATATATGTAAAAGAGAAAAGAGTTGTGTAACATGCACCATTCTTTCCCTAGAGAATTAAAAAGGTGTTTCTTTCATAATAATTTATATTTGGTTTTGGATCACTACATTGCTTGTTATAAGTGAAGGCAGCAGCAACAGCCAATTGTTTGAATATTTTGACTTCATGCCTAAATGAAAAGGTAAAGTAGCTTGAACTGTTCTCATAAATGATGCTTTCAATTTTTAAACTAGCTATTGGATTTTAAGTACTCATGAACTATAGGTTTACTTTAAAATTCAGTTTAAAGATCCATGTAATAATGGTTGCCAAATAAACAATGATTCCAATGATTTCCAGTACAAAGAAGAACTGTGTTTGATTTAATCACTTTCTCTGACTAAATCGTTTAAGGTGAGTAATGAAAGTGTTCATTCCCCTGTGTGATCCTTTACTTCCAGTAATTTATTTAGGTAATATACAAAACTTCATATTATATAGGAATATATACATAACAGATAATATATATAGAATGTTTCATGGAGTATTTTTGATATGCTTTTACATTTGTACAGAGAGATACACATAAAAATACACAGGAAATATATCTTGCTACTTTTTTCTGCATTTATTAATTATGCCCTATATTCCAAGCTATTTGAGAATTTAATTTTTTTTGCTATGACTGAGTTTGTACAGAAGGAGAAGTACCTTTAAAGATATATCTAAAAATCATAAAATTTGGTGCTATTTATCATCAGTATACAGGAGTCAGTCTGGTTAATTTTGTTCTGTTGAAACAAAACAGCGGGGCAAAAAATAATTGGTGAAGCAAGAATGTTTTCTCAAATAAAAGTTCAAATTGAAACATCATAAGATTACTAGAAAAATGTTTTTCTGATTCTTTTAATTACAGTTAAGAGCAGCATACAAACACAGGAAAAATTTTAGGCAGTGACTATATATGTATTTATACTCAAACTACATATGAACTTATACCCAAGCATAATTAAGGAGAATTAATATTTATATTTTACGAAATATCTTCTACAGGGAAATAGGTTTTCATTGTACAAAACAAACCCGAGTATCTCTGCAGTTAAGAAGTAGAGTCCTTTGGACATAGTCTAAGAGTGATACTGGTGGTTATATTTTCAGCTTTTTTGAGGAAGCTCCAAACTGATTTCTGCAGTGGCTGTACAAGCCCTTACTTCCTGCAGCAACAAGTAAGATCTCCCCATTCCCACATTCTTATCAGCATGTGCTGTCACTTGTTTTAGTAATCTTGGCTGTTCTGGACAGGGTATGATGAACCCTCAAACTAGTTCTGATTTTTATTTCCCTAATAGCTAAGAACTATAAACATTTTAAAAAGCATTTGTCAGCCATTTGTGTTTCCTTTGAGAACTCTAGTTTCATGCTCCATTTTAAAATTTTGAACTATTGATTTTCTTGATGTTTAGTTTTTAAAGTTCTTTGTATATTCTAAATACTAGTCCTAAGTCAGATTTTTTTTTCTATTCTGTAGGCTACCTCTTCATTCATGTGATTTTTATCCTTTGTTAAAATTTTCAGTATTGGCTATAGCCAATAAACAAAATCTGAGACTTGTTCCTGAAACTAGTTTCTGAAACTTACCCTTCTTCTAATTTTCAGGTTTCTGATACTTTCTCTTTATTTGTTGTCCTCCTTTTCCACATTTTTTTTCTCATACCATTCCCATTTCTCTTCATTTTATTCCTTTTCACCAATCCAAATGACCTTTTCTAGTCTTCCTGTTAGTTTTCTCTTCTTATTGCTTCCTTCTTCTTTTGAGAGTCACCTACTTATCCTTTGTTGAGAAACTTTTCTTAACATAGTCTAGAGGCACTGGACAAATGCCAACTGTCTTCCATAGTTTCTGGGATATTCCTCATCACCCTTTCTCTTTAACGTAATTTCTTCTCTGTATGGCACTTTACTTACTATTATTTCTGCTGCTGTTTCACTTATATAGAAAGCTGTTTCACTTAAGCCATTACAACGTTTCAACACTTAGGGATCTGTAGTCATATAATCAACCACATCCCACAATTTGGCCTCTGGCACTGGGCAGAAAGGGAGCCAGGCAGTCACATGTATTTATGATTAAGACTTAATAGACCCATAAAACAAACTTCATGCCTCCTGCTTGTTTTGTCATAGCAACAAAAACGTAGTGTATCTAAGTTCTAAAACTGTTTCTAAGAGACCTTCTACACAGTTACCAAAATTGTTGATTCTTATTTTATTATACATCCAGATTATGTCCTAAAACAATACATAGTGTGGGCTCTATACTATGAATAATTTCCAGTTTGTCTCTTTGTCCTCATAATACCTTTCAATGTCTCTTTACACATACTGGTTAACTTCACATATATTTAAAAAGCATTTGGAGAAGATTTAAAAGGTAGATCATTGATTGCAAACTACTCAGTTTTTTTAGTTATATCTCACAAGCTGCATTTTGCACAAATGTTTCCAGATAACTCTGATATAAAATCTGTTTTGGAACTTTTGTATAAAATGAGAGCTTTCTAATAATATTGAATCTAGTTTCGCCTCCAGCCCTGAACCCATTTTCTTGCTACTATATAATTCAAATCGTTTTGAAATATTTCTTCATGTTCTATTATGTTTCCATTGCATCAAGAAAGTACATTCTAATTGGCTAAAATAATACATCTCAATTCAGTTTTTAGTTCAGATGCTTTAAAAATCTTTGTAGCAACAGTGAGTCTATGTTGTATACGCTGAATATTCCTGCCAATCCAATGGTATGTTTTTAACTTACCATGTTTTCCTAAATCTATTATAATATTTGCATGTTAAAATTATATCAATGGTTGATATTGTTTTTTAAATTTCAAGGATAGTTTCCATTTATTATAGTCAAACAACAAAATTCAAAGCGCATTATGATAAATATATTCATGTATTTCAAATCCACTTCCAAATTTCACTTTACAGGTCCTGACTAAGTAGTGTCTGACATTTGCTACCTTTTATTTCAGGAACTTCTAGTGAGGACATGGGAACAGAGAATGACACACTGCTGACAGAATTCATTCTCACAGGACTCAGTCACCACCCACCATGGAAAATCCCCCTATTTCTGATGTTCTTAATGATCTATCTCATCACCATTGTGGGGAACGTTGGTCTTATTATTCTCGTCTGGAGTGACCCTCGACTTCACATCCCCATGTACTTATTTCTTGGGTGTTTAGCAGTTGTCGATACTTTGTTATCGTCCACAGTGACACCCAAGTTGCTTCTCACCTTAATAGCTAAGAGTAAAGTGATCTCTCTCTCTGAATGCATGATACAGTTTTTTTCATTTGTAATGTGTGCAACCATGGAATGTTTTCTCTTGGCAGCGATGGCCTATGATCGCTATGCAGCCATCTGCAAGCCTTTGCTCTACCCAGTGATCATGACAAATAGACTGTGTGTATGTCTGCTCATCTTGATCTTTGTAATTGGAATTCTTCATGCTTCAATTCATGAAGGCATGTTATTCAGATTAACGTTCTGTAATTCCAACACAATACATCACTTTTACTGTGATATTATGCCACTGTTAAAGATTTCCTGTACTGACCCTTCTCTGAATTACCTAATTGTTTTTATTTTTTCTGGTTCAATCCAAGTATTCACTATTTCAACTATTCTAGGCTCTTACACATTTGTACTGTTTACAATTTTAAAAAAGAAATCTGCTAGAGGCATAAAGAAAGCGTTCTCCACCTGTGGAGCCCATCTCTTATCTGTGTCTCTATACTATGGCTCTCTTCTCTTCATGTATTTGCTTCCTGCATCTCAGAAAGTGCAGGGTGAAGACATGATGGACTCTGTGTTCTACACTGTCATAATACCTGTGATGAATCCAATTATCTACAGTCTGAGAAACAAGCAAATCAAAGACTCGCTGGAGAAAATCTTAAAGAGAAATGTTTAGGTCTCATATCACCTGTTGTCTTTTTGTCAATTTATCACAAACGTGTGTGGACTTAACATGGCTGTATTTTGCTCATGGTCTAAATTATTTTACAGTTATACCTGTTCTAGCACTTTAGTGAACTAATGTGTAAATGCCCATTTCTTTCAAATACTTCCATACTTATTTTCAACCATACAAAGATTTATAATAGAATATTATATTATGATAAAAATAAATTAAGCAGTGTAAAAGACTGGTTTGCATGTTCCACATTATGACTTCAGTGACTGTAGGAGAGCAGGCCCTCTAAAAACAATTCAGGGGGATTTTTTTTTTCAGCTTGGAGTCTCATAACACATTTACCTGTACAGAAATATAGTTTTGTGTTTCAGTGACAGGCAGAAGTGTCTAGCATATGATTTTACTTATGTTAGTGTAAAATATTAACAACATGGTAATAATCTAAATTATTATTGTTACTAGTTTATTAACTTAGATATTTTTTAAAATATTCATTATTATTTCTATGTGTATATTTGTATATATGTTTCAGCATTCTATTTTTAAAGAGATTATAGACAAAATTATCTGACTTATTATAAAAGAATGAAAAACCATTATGATTAAGGTATAAGTCAACATAGTGTGTTGATTACCTTTTGTCAACAGATAGCAGAGGCATTTGGAAAGAGGGAGGCTCAGTTGTAGGATTCCATCCATCTGATTAGCCTGTGGGCATTCCAATGGAGACATTTTCTTTTCTTTTTTTAATTAAATTTTTATTTTTTATATTAATTATAGTTTATTCACTTTGTACCCTCCTGCATTCCCTCCCAACCCCCCCTCTCAACTTCTCCCATGCCCCTCTCCAAGTCTACAGATAGTGGCTACATCTGAGCAGGGGTTCTAGACATTTTCTTGACTGATGGTTGATGTGGGAGGGTATAGCTTATATTGGAGTTTTACCCCTGTGAAGGTGGTTCATGGTTATATAAGAAAGTAGGCTGAAACAGGACAGGAGCCTACCACAGAGGGCCTCTGAAAGACTCTATCCAACAGTGTATCAAAGCAGATGCTAAGGCTCATAACCAAACTTAGGGCAGAGTGCAGAGATTCTTATGAAAGAAGGGGGAGATAGAAAGACTTGGAGAGGACAGGAACTCCACAAGGAGACCAAAGAACCAAAAACTCTGGGCCCAGGGGTCTTTTCTGAGACTGATACTCCAACCAAGGACTATGCATGGAGATAACCTAGAACCCCTGCTCAGATGTAGCCCATGGCAGTTCAGCGTCCAAGTGAGTTCTCTAGTAAGGAGAACAGGGACTGTTCCTGTCATGAACTCAGTGGCTGGCTCTTTGATCACCTCCCATAGTCTTATCAGGCCACAGAGGAAGACAATGCAGCAAGTCCTGATGAGAGCTGTTAATCTAGGATCAGATGGAAAGGGAGGACCTCCTCTATCAGTGGACTTGGGGAGGGGCATGGGAGGAGATGAGGGAAGAAGGGTGGGATTGGGAGAGGATGAGGGAGGGGGGCTACAGCTGGGATACAAAGTGAATAAACTGTAATTAATATTAAAAATAAAAATAATTTACAAAAAAGAAGACAAACAAACAAAAAAATAAAGTAAGCTGAGAAGAAATGGAAAGCAGGGAAGTATGCAGTTTTCCTCCAATATCAGCTTCAGTACCTACTTCTGCTTCATGTGAAGATGGACTAAAATTTTAAGTTGAAATAAACCCTTTTCTCATCATGATTCTTTTGGCCATGAGTTCTTTCTCAGCAATAGAAAATCAACTAAGACACAGAGGGATAACAATCAGTTTGGGTTATATCTTAACTATGGCAGAATATTATTGAGCACGTTTTCAGGAATCTGTCAAGAATCCTTGAAATGGTATCATTGATTTATTTCATTGGATGATTGACTTTTTTAAAACAGGCTTTAAATGTTTACTGGGAATTACAGCTTGTGAAAACACAGCCTGATATTCTATATATTGATCGTTTCTAATTCACTAATATTGAAAAAGTTAATTTGGATCAAATTCTAAAATAATGTTTTGTAAAAATTCTATATAAAGTATATATGTATATGTTTATATGTGTGTATCAAAGTGAAGGTTCTACATATTTTACATTAATTATTTAAATGTAAGGGCATAGTAAGATTTATACCATGTGCTTTTATTTTTTTTTCCATGCTTGATGAGACAGATACAGTATTCAATACAGCATCTAATTCAAAGGTTGAAGTACAGTGGGCATTTGTTCTCTCTGGAACTGATGTTGACAGTGATGATAGCTAGTCAAAAAGAGCTTATATTAATTACAAAATATTGTTTAGCAAGATAAATCAGTTTTGGATTATAGCTCTCAAAGTTCATGTAGAAGACATTAATTTGCTTAAAGAATACTGTTTTTACTTCTTTGATAATGTTCATTTTGTGTGAGATTTATTTGAAAGCAGTAACTTGCAATTTTAAAATGATATTTACTTCTTATATCAAGAGAAAAATTATCTAATATGAAATGAAAGCTCTGTTAATTATGGTTATATTTGCTCTACTTCCAAGATAAAGAAAGGAAGTCCATGCTTAGTTCAAAGATTAGAGAGTATGAAAACCAATGGTGTTATCCATTCTTAATCTAAAAGCCTGGAATTTATATGTACTGGTGTAAGGAGAATTTCAATAATTAAAATTTATGAAGAATGAACTCAATCTTTCTTTAAGTTTCAATTTATTGAGGCCCTCAGTTGACATAATGATGCCTCCATATATTTGGAGAAATCCAAATAACATATTTATTCCACCAATCTAAATAGGAAACACCCTCAGCATAGAAATCACCTGATAGATATACCTAGAAGTTATGTTTTACTAGATATTCTAGGCCCCGGTCAAATGGACACACACACACACACATACACACACACACACACACACACACAAATGCCTGTTTTTCTCACTATACTCTTACTCCCCAATGATTCCATTTTTGAGTGCTCCCCTAACTCTTTGCCACAAACCCTCTCTGCTTTTCTTCCTAGCCCATCTCCATTCCTTTACACCACATGCTGACTTGCAGAAACACTCTCTACAAGGAACAACATAGCCACAACATTTGCCTAAGACTCATGGAGCACAGCAGCAACCAAAGAACAGAACATCCACCCAATAAAGACAAGACCAGATATTAATAGCAATAAATGCCTCAAACATCATATCAGATGCTTAGGTCCCAGCACAAAACCACAAATGTGAACAGCCAAGACTATTTACCTCTACCAGAACCCAGACACCATATTACAATAAGCCATGGAGAATACAATAAAGCTCAAGCACAAGATATGTACTTCAAAATTTCAACTATGAAAATGTTCAAGAAGTTTAATGAAGATGTAAATAAATCCTTTAACAAAGACTGGAAGAAACAGAGAAATATTAGAATGAAATAATTAAAAGAGTTCAAGGTATGAAAGTACAAATGAAATTACTAAAGAAAACTCAACCTGGAAAATAAAAGTTAAGGAAATCAAAGAAAACCTCAAATGTAAACCTCAACAACATATCACAAGGCATGAAGCAGGAAATCTCAGGTATAAAACAATGGGTAGTTCAAACAAAGAAAATGTTAAATCAAAAACAACAACAACATCAAAACAGACACAAAACTTCCAAGAAATCTGAGATATCATGAAAAGAACAAATCTACAAATAAAAATAGGAATAGAAGAAGGAAATGAAACCATGTCAAAGGCACAGAAAATATTAATGAAATCATAAAGAAAAATTTCCCTAAGAAGGTACATATCAACATACAAGAAGCAGAATATCAAATAGACAGGACCAGAAAAGAATTTTCCATGACAAATAATAATCAAAACACAAAATGTACAGAATAAATAAAGTAAATTAAAAGCTGCAAGGGAAAAAAGACTAAGTCACATATAAAGACAGGCCTATTCAAATAAAATCTGACTCAGTGGCTAGCTCTTTGCTCAATTCCACCTGCGGTGGTGGTTGGGGGAAGCAGCCTTACCTGGCCACAGAGAAAGACAGTGTGGCCAGCCTTGATGAGACTTGAAAGGCTTCGGTCAGATGGGAGGGGAGGGGGACCTCCCCTCTCAGTGGACTGTGGAAGGGGCATGGGAGGAGAGGAGGGAGGGAGGGAGGGTGAGATTGGGAGGGAATGAGGGATGGAGCTATGGATGGGATACAAAGTGAATAAACTGTAATAAAAAAAACTTAAAAAATAAAAGAATAAAACCTGACTTCTCAATGGAAACTCTAGAAGCCAGAAGGGCCTGTATGGATGTTTGATAATTCCAAGACATTACGGCTGCCCACCCAGACTACTATACCCAGTAAAACTATCTTATTATAATCCATGGAGAAAGAAAAGTATCCCATAATAAAATAAAATTTAAGCAATATTTAGCTTCTAACCCAGTTCTACAGAATGAAGTATAAAGAAAACAAGTCTGAAGACGTTAACCACACCCAAGAATACAAAATAAATAATCCGAGATGAGTAAATCAAAAAGGAGGGGGAAATGTACACCATAACAGCAAAGTAGTAGGAATCAATAAACACTGCTCATTGATAAATCTACTATTAATGGTATCAGCTGCCAAACAAAAAGATACAGACAAGCAGATTAGATTAGATAAAAATCCATATTTCTAATGCATCCAAGAAACACCACTTGCCATCACAGACAGATATTACTTTAGGGTAAAAGGATGGAAAAAGTATTGCAAGCAAATGGACCCAAGAATCAAGTAGATGTAGTAATTGTAGTGTCTGTGAAATATAGTTTATACTGAAACTAATTAAAGGAGATGAGGAAGAACACTACCTACTTACTCATCAAGAGAAAAAATTCACTGTGAGGATTTTTTTATTGATTACACTTTATTCATTTTGTATCCCCCCATAAGCCCCTCCCTCCTCCCCTCCCGGTCCCACCCTCCCTCCCTTTCTGCATGCATGCTCCTCCCCAAATCCACTG